GAATTATTGGGAGACATTAAAAAACAAGAAAACAGAAACTATGTGAAGAAGTTATAACCATCAGCAAAAGGCTGCCCGAAAGACATATCAGAAGATCTAAGCGACTTGCTGTATTTGTGTCATCTTACTGGGAACCCCCAATATTTACTGAACCCACATGGCATGGAGATTAGATGTGTGCATAGAAAGGATGGTGTAAGAGAGATAATGTCAGAAACTGAAAAGTATTTTGAGAAATGGCATCGACAGCAGCATGTTATTTAAAAACACAGTGGCATAAATATCAGCTAGGATGCATACAAAATTGAAAGTGGGTGTTCTAGCACGTTCTGAGCTGGTTATGAGTGGAGTAACATGATAAAAAGTACTCCTTCGTGGTTGTAACTAAGGTCAGGACCCACTTGAACTTTAAGAAGTATTTATGTGTTATAAACCTATCAAAACGTTGGAGAAGTAAGATTGAGTTGGTCTCCAACTGTCATTGTTAAACAGACCACAGGTGTAGCAGTGGAAAGTGGTGGTTGACATCTACCTTTTCTGCTCATCCTGTGTGGGATTTAACCAGGGCAGGTGTCTGACGCTTTTCCCTCTGCCTCATCTGTCTATACACACTGCTGCTGGCAAGCTCCTGGCGAGGAATACACATGTGTATCCTTTGCATACCCTGCACTATGAATGGGTACAATCGATAGCATTTACTGTTTAGTTTGTTCAGTGGCTTATCTGCTCATGCTTTTGGCGTGGGAAATGTCTAAGAACACGATGGAGAGAGTGACCACAGCTGAGGAATGTGGTATTGTAGGCAAATATGGGGGTTGCACTGGACAAGCACCAGGAAGGCAAATCAAAGGCACAGCAATACTTAGAAGGTCGTTGGGCAAGGACTCAGGCCTTCTCTAGGCTTTGCATAGAGAAGTGATTGCGTAGCTCAGAACTTTGAGAGGGCTCCTAACTGATAAAATGGCCTGGGTGTGTTCACCCTCACTCTGCACAGTCAGTACTGCACAAACTCGTTTGGAAGGGGACAGCTTATCCTCGCAGGTGCTCACTGAGTTGTCCAGTAGAGTGAGAGCTCAATTTTAGCTGGGGAACCTGAGATCTTTGAAGAAGGAAACCATTTCTCCTTCTCCTGGAAGAGATCGTGTGCGTATCAGCCTTGTGAATTTCAATCTTTCTCAAGGATCGAACCAACAAGGTGAACAGAAGTCTGAGGCTAATCCTGAGGTGTGGGTAAGAAGTTCTGTGTTTGAGCAGAGGCAGTTCTGCATCTGGCGTGGGGAAGTTGCCACTGGTGCCTCTGAAACCCACTGACTGAGTCAAATTCCCTCTTTCTGCTAGAGTAGCTCAGCGATCACTTCAAAAAAGTGACCAGGGTTGCTTAGATTTTTAAATGAATGAGCACTTTCCCATCAAAGTACTCTTTTTGTGAACTATATTTTCAAATGCAGGTATGTAGATGATGATAAATGAATGCCTAATGATTAAAGTCAATATCGATTGTGGGTGCTAATTCATTATACTAAATACTTCGTTCAGTCAACTCTCAAAAGCCCTAATGTGCAGGCACTATTAACCTTCCTCTCCAGCATGTAACGGGGTCTGGATTAAGCTTATAAACTGAGAGGATTTAGGCGGCTTGCTCAGTGCAGATGATTTAGTTAGAGCCTGAGCAAAATTCAAACTCAGGGCTGTCGAGAGTGTTGTTATTAATCTCTTCTTCCCAGGTCTCACTAAAATATGTGATACTATATGTAACATGTAGAATACACACACACACACACACACGCACATGCACATGCACACACACACACACACACACACGCATACAGGCACATCTTGGACTACAGATCATATTCTGACGACTCCTTCCTCAAGTCAGGTCTTCAAAACTACCCATCCCTCATCTTTCTACCTTGAAGCAAGTTATCAAAAATCCTCTGAGCTAATCTTATCATAAAACCATCCTCATGCCAGAAGGCCCCTGAGAGATGCTGTAGTGGATGAAATCCTGCTTGAGAGGCCCAGGAGCATGGGAGTGGATGACTCTTGCATTGCTCCCCGCAGCCTGGTAACACCCATGTCTGTGCACTGAGGTCTCCATGAACCCCTAACCGATGGGTTCAGAGGCTTGTAGTCCAAACCCATCCTTTGTAATGGGCTTTCTCAGAAACTGGTAGCGTGTTTCTTGGAGTTGAGTCACTTAAATAAGCTGACGGAGCATGAGGAAGGTGTGAGGACGCCCCTCTTTCTGGCATGTTGGGAAGAAAAATAAGGAGTTAACTGCAGGCTTGGGAGTGGAATCTAAAGATGGGGGTACAGTCTAGGGACTGGGTCCTCAGCCCATGAGATCCGAGCTCCTCCAGATGGAAAGCTTGAGGACAGAACTGGATCAGAGTGTGCCAGTTGGAGCTGGGGCTCCAGAGTTGTCACTTGGTGGTGGGAACCCATCCGACACAGTGTCTGGAGGATCTCCTGTGCTGATGGCAGTGTGGGAGAGTAGGAGAAAAGGTGACACAAATACAGAAGAGTGAGAGGGGCAGCCACCGGTCATCCCGGTGTGGTGGTCACACTCAGGTGGTGTGGTCACATCATCAGAGACCTCTCTGGGAGACCCCTCCAGCCCACTCTGCCCCTCCTGTGATAACTGCTCCATCGTGCTAGGGACCAAAGTGGATCCTGGTGTCCACAGACTTGTGTCAAACAGGCCCGTGCTCACTGTGCCTCTGGAGAATCTCGAAGGAACCTGCCGAGCCCTGGGGCGGAGTCCAGTGCTCAGTGGCCTGGGGGTGTTGACAGGGAGTCAGGGCCAGGTGGAGACTGAGAAAGTCATCTTGGTCTCTGAGATGACAGCAAGGACTCGGGTCTAGGCTGGCCCAGCACACGCATGTGAGTACCTCGCAGCACATGTGAGGTTCGGGCCTCTGCCCTGTCTGACCTCAGTGGGAGTGTGGAGGAGAAGGCCCCGGCTCAGCTCTGAGGGCTGGAATGCACCCTTGGGATTTCCTCAGCTTTTGAAGGAGGACAGCTCCGAAAAGGAGGGAGAGATTGTGTGGGCACTGGGGACTCATTTGTTTTATTTTGGGACCCCATGAAACAGCACCGTGGGCTGAATTTCCATGACCTATAAATGTAACCTTACTTGGACACCATGTCTTTGCAGGTGGGATTAGGGATTTTGAGGCAGGAGCCCCTGATCATCTGAGAGGTGATTCCCTAGTTCAATGACAAAGGTCCTTAACCAGAGTGGGGTGGATAGGGACTGCAGACAGACAGGTCCTGGGAGCCAGGACAGGCAGCAGCTCCCAGCACCGGGAGAAGGAAGGTGCAGGCCGTCTGCAGGAGACTCTGGAGGGGGCGCAGCCATCCACACCCGCATCCCGAGCTCTGCTCTCCAGAACTTTCAGAGCCCTCATTTCTGTTGTTTTAGGTCACCAGTTTGAGGCAGTTAAAACTGCTTTAATAAACTAACACAGAGAATGACTTCTGAAGGGAAAAAATATTTCCAGGAAACTGAACTCCCCGGTACTGTGCCACCGAGGCTTACTCAGTCTCTACTTTTTCGTGTTTTCATTGCTCAACTGAACTCTGCAGGTAGAAGTGTAAATTATCATGCCTGTGACATGTGACCGTCACCTGTGGCCCTTCAGCCTTTTAACTTTTCACTTCTGCCCATCTAACTCCAGTCAGTGAGTTCTGGCAAAATAGATTTTTTCCCCTTTGTAAGTTTTGCTTTAATAAATGCTATATTTTAAGGTACCATCGATGTTTTATGCTTTTTTCAGTAGCATTTAAAGTGTGGCTCTCAGACAAGTTGCTGGCACACACCGTAATCCCAGCCCTGTGTGAGGCTGAGGCAGGAGGACTGCAGATCTGAGCCCAGCCTGGAAAATTTAGCGAAGCCCTGTCTCAAAATAAGGAATGCAAAAGGGGTTATAGATGTAGCTCATATCTTGGGCTTATTCTCCAGTGACACACACACACGCGCACACACACACACACACACACACACACACACGCGCGCGCGCATTTCTATGTGAATGTCGTTTCTGTTGGCTTCACCTACTTCCTTGTACTCTGTGATCTGTACCACTGGCCCCAGATCACCCATCCTCAGAGTAAGGGACGAGGTTTCTTCCCGCATTTTATCACGTGGGTTATGCCACTGAGAATACCTCTGAGTCTGTCCTTGGTGGCTGTCCTATGCCTGTCTGGTACTTATCAAGCACTTGTGTGTGAGGCTCTATGTGAAGCCCGGGACACGGTTTGGAAGCATTTATTTTCCCAATTCCATTGTATACACAGAAAATTAAGAGAAAAAAGATTTATGATTAAAGCAAAACATCTTTTGCTAGAATTAAAACTAGGACTCAGACCATGATAGTCTTTATTTTAAATTTGTATATGAAGAGTGTAACATACACAGAAGTCCACTAAGATTCCTCAGCTGGAAGGAGAACAGAGCAGGCCAGGGGTTCAGTGATTTGCTGAGAAACACAGCTGGCAGTGAGGTTAGAGCCCCAGGCCCCCCCTTTGCCCTCCATGCAGCGTGCCTTTTTGGGAGGGTAAAAGCTGGCAGTGTATCCACCTGTGCAGACAGTGTTGACTTATGATCACCGACAGTGAATAGCAGTGCCCAGTGGCTGACATCAGCCAGCCCCGCACCCTTGACAGCCAGGAGCCCGGGTGACAGTGTGTCCCTCAAAGGCCAAGAGTCCATTCCTTAGCTCCATGCTATGTACATGTGTCCTCACATGCTGACGGGCACACCACAGCTTGTGCACCTCTTTCCAGCGTGCATCTATCAAGGGAGCTCTGGACTAAGCACAGTGGAGGCCTCGCAGAGGCAGTGACTGCACTAAAGGAGCCAGTGCTGTGAACACATTTCTAGGGGAACAAAGAAGCTTCTTCAGAGCACGGTACTACTCTGAAGCACCTTCGAGCACGTCCCAAGCACCCTTTGAGGCACAAACAAAGGATGGACTCAATAGGAGCATTCTTACCTCTTCATTAATCTCCATCATCCGAGGGCTGCTACTTAACTATATGCTGGCCTCCTTCTGTTTAGTGCCTGGAAGGAAATAAAATCAGATTTCTTTTAAAAACTGTTTTCTAGATCCATATTTTCTTGCTGTTCACTCAGAAGGCCTTCCAAATAATTAGTGTGAATGAGTAGGGTTTTGTGGTCACTGTGCTTTATTTAATATCTTACTTACAGTGCCCAGAACTCACAAATTGAAGAAATGTGAATTCCCGATGGCGTTTTCCCAAATTATGCACCACTTATGGATTATTTGGAAGAACTTAAAGTGTAGCCTTTGATTGAGGTTTTATTAAGTACAACAGGGAAAAACCAAGAGGTGGCCAAATCCTTAGAAAGGAAAATGTCGAGGTGGAATTTGAGTTTGAGAGTGTGGAGATTCTCTCGGCCTCGTCGCTGGTCACCTCTCCAAGCTACTCCACCCTTGTCTGAAGGGCAGTGGCCAAGAGCCCAAACCCTCCATGGTGCGGACCGTCCCTGGCCTGTGGGGTCCGGCCAGCCTGGCCTCGCCCATTGCTGTGGTCCTCATCTTGTGACTCCGTTCCCCCGTGTGGGTCCCAGGCCAGGCTGCTCACTGTTTCCTATGATTATTATGATGATGATTTCTGAGCTCGCCCTGCATCTTTCTCCTTCCTGGCCTTGGAACACCAGCTCTTGGGGATTTGGGGGATCACCACAGAGCTCTGGACTCTCTCAGATGGACAACGCCCTGGCTGCCCTGCCACGGGGCACTCATTCTGGTGTTAGATCCTTGGTGAAGGCCCAGCTGGACACAGCGAGGCCCCTCGTGGTGGGACGGGCAGTTGGGGAGAGTGTGTTTCCTAATGCTTATGCAGTTTGGTGCCGTAAGACAGCCAAGATTTATTCTCCGAAGCTTCAGAGGCCGGAATCTGATATGAAGGTGTTGGCAGGGACATGGTCCCTCCTAAAGGCTGTGGGGGGGGGGATTTTTGTGGTTGTGGTCATTTTTTTTCCACTTTTCTCTCACTTTTCATGGTTGCTGGTGATTCTTGGTGCTTCCTGCATCCCTCTTCAGGGGGCTTTCTCCTCGGGGTGTCTCTTCCTGTGAGGACACCTTAAGTCTGGTCTGACCTTACTTTAAATTAACTAAATATCTCTGTGAAGGCCTCATTTCTAAATAAGGTCTCATTGTGAAGTTTCAGGAAAACATGGATGCGAGGGAAACACCATTTAACCTAAAACGGAGATATCAAAGTCTCCATCAGATAAGGTTACCATTCTGGGACATTGGTAGATATGTGGAATGACAAATTATCCATCAACCCATCTCCATCCATTCAGCATTCATCTATCCATTCACCCATCGATCCACCATCAATCTATCCATCCGTCCATCCATCCATTCAGCATCCATCCATCCACTTACCCATCCATCCACTATCAATCCATCCATCCATCCATCCAGCCATCCATTCAGCATTCATCCATCCATTCACCCATCCATCTACCATCAGTCCCTCCCTCCATCCATCCATCCCACCATTCATCCCTCCGTCCATCCACTATTCACCCATCCATCCATTCATCCATCCAAGGAATATTTACCAAGCACTAATTATGCACAGAATACAATGTCATAACAATAGAATCAGCAAAACCTGGGCCTTTCTCTCAAGGTACTTACCACTCAAAACAAGTGGTAAGAAATGAAAAGGAGCAAAAGTCCTTCAAAGGAAAATGGCCACGAACCAGCTGTGATACACATTCAGGGAAGGAAGAGACCACATCTAGTATCGTGAGATTTACAGGCAAAGGAAAAAGACCTTAAAAGAAAAGAATTCTAATTTTACAGCCTATGCAAATTTGAAGTAAAATACTTCACTATTTTCCCAAATATAGTTTATTTCTCAGGGAAGTCCTGTATGCAATTGGATGTTTATGGTTTCTTTCCTTCTGTTGAGAAGTGCAAATATTCCAGCCACTACGTGCACTGTCAACCCACCGATTACGAAGGACACTGTGTGTGCAGTTGTAAATTTCCTGGCATGGGAGGTCCATCAAGATATTTTCACGTCTGTAACAAAAATGCCAGGGCAAAGTTCACTGCGGAGGCTCACGTAGGCTACAACTGACTTTTTTCCCTCCAATCAGTTATTGAGATGCTTGCACCACATCTTGAGAATACATTGCTAAATGATAGACTCTCTCAGAGGTTATGATTTCTTATAAAATTACATGAAAATCCAGCTCCCAAAAATCCTATCCAGTTAGAAACCAGCAGTACAGCCTGACATGGAGTAATTATAAACAGCAGCTTTATGTAAGGCCCAAAGACAGCAAGGTATCTGTAATAGAGCTTGCTTTAATACACACACACACACACACACACACACACACAGGAACCCTCTGGCTCTGTGCCAGACCTGGTGAAAATGCCCATCCCTTTCCGAGCAGCTCAGGCAGGGAGCTAAAGACCTCACTGCTGGGAGGGCCTTAGATGGATTATCTCTGCGCGCACAGCTTAAGGTCTGCTCCCTGGTCTTCTACACAAATAAATAATTGAAGCCCATTACCACTTCCCAGCCCTCCTCCTTGGGCTCCCATCAAAGCCGAGTTCCGTGGCAAAGGCAGCAGCCACATTGAGCAGGGTCTCAGGGAGACTACTGATTAATTGCCTTTGCATTTTGTTTTTTTTTTTTTTTTTTTTTTTTTTTTGCTTTTTTCATTTTTAATCGGTACCAGGGATCGAACTCACGACCGCCTGCTTACAAGGCAGGTACTTATGCCACTGAGCTAAATCCCCAGCCCCTTGCCTTTGCATTTTGGAAGTGCATCCAAAGATGTTGTAAAATAGTGTTTGTTTTCGCTGTTGCCAAACCTTGTTTAGGAGAGCTCTGGAGGGTGACGCAGCCACACTTGAGACGGTGAGAGAGGCGAGAGCAGTCGGCCCAGGTGTTGGTGCCAGCTCTGCTCCCGGGTCCTGGGAGGGGCTCAGGGAGGGGCTACGGCCCACACCAATGACAGGGACGGGCTTCTTCCCTTGGCACCTGATGGCAATTCCGTGTAGATAAAAGCAGCCACTTAGACTTCTGCAAAATCCTTGATTTGCTGGCAATCCGCAGACAGAAAGAGAAACTGAGGGGAGACTCGCCCTCCTCAGCGTCGTGGGTGCCAACGCCCGCGCTGAAATTTGGTAGCGATGAAGAGAGGCACGCACGCAGTTCACTGCGGCCAATTCCGTCAGCGCTGGCAGCCCTCACACCGCGATCTGCCTTCCCGCCTCGCTCTCTATCAACTCCACATGTTGCCCTGTGGCCGTCTTTGTACTTAATAGAACTTGTCAAAACATATCTATCAGCTGCGCGGAGACCAGACCTGGGTGGCCGGGGAGCGTGGGCTGGGGGCGCACTGCCATTCCCGGCAGCCCCGCACATCCTCCTGCCCGGTTCTCCCCACAGACGAAGGGGAGACCAGGGCACGCTGCTGAACCGCTGTGTTTGAGTGATTCCCACACCAGCCGCTGTATGAATAGCACCCCGGTGTTTATTTCAGGCCCTGAGCTCTGCTTTCACATGGATTTTTGGTGACTCTCAAAACTGTGAGAGAAAAGGGATAGGTTTGGGCTTGCTGGAAGGTGCTGTTAATACCTTGCATGTGTATGTTTATAGAGACACACAAATACAGGAAGACACTGGCCCATGCGGTGTACCTCATATGTGTCTATCAGGTAGAATGTGTACTATACATGTGTGTGCATGCACACACATACACATGCACAAACAGAGCCATTCCTGTCCCTGGAATTACAACACAGCATGTCCTTCCAAGAAATTGGTCTCTGTGGTTCCCAGGGACATGTCCCTGCCAGGCGTCCGGCTTTCCCTGAGCCACGTCCAATGCCACTGGAATTCTTCGCGGCTGGGGTCCAGCTGGGACTCACCCATCCATGGCTGGCCTGAGGGAGGGGAGACACTAGTGTGGCTCTGAGTAATCACAGGCCCAGTGGGAGCTCAGCAGCCCTTACCCCGGCTCCTTTCCTCTGTGCCACCGAGCTTCAGGATTCCCCGAAGGATAGCAGTGTTTGTCTTTGTGGCGCTTCTTGGCCGCCTGAGCTGGGACAGGCAGGCCACATGTGTGGGCAGAGCGGCTGGCTGTGGCAGGCTGAGCCTTGGGGACGGTTTGTCGGGCTGGTTTCTGTGTTTCCAGCTGCAAAGTTTGAGCAAGTCCGTTTCTTTATTGGCAAAACCAAGCACACGGGCTGGGGATTTAGCTGGGTGGTGTAAGTGCCTGCTTGGCAACTGTGAGATAGTGAGCTCAAACCCCAGTATGCAACAAAAACAAAAACAGAAAGAAAAACACAAATCCAAGCATAGGAGAATGCTCTATCTGGTGAGGAGCTCTGAGCTGCACTGAGACAGCCCTGACATCTTGGGGGCACACACAAGTTGACACCTACCTCGGGTCACAGCCCTGTGGTGGTGAGAGGCCTGGAGGGTGAGGCAGGAACTTGTGCTCTGGGAACCGCTGACCACCAAGACGGGCTCCTCTGCACATGGCCGGCTGATATGCGGACATACAGAGAGCCCACTATGCTCTACTGGGGGCACCGACCTGCATGATGACCAGAAAATGCCCTATATTTACTGGCTGTTATATTCGGGACTATTATACAAGCAAAAAACATGATAGCTTGTTTCTAAAAAACTGAACTTATGGGATACACCAAATGTATTTTTATATTCTGTAATTAGATATTAATGTTTTGTATGGATGCTTATACACATATAATCCTATGTATGCCAATCATATAGGGCATTTATTGCCCGTCTATAAAATACTTCAACATCTTGCTTCCTGTACCCTAGTCCCAGAGGTCCCCTGACTCAGCCTCTTGGTGACCCCCTCCTGTTCTGTGGGCTCCGTGCTTGGCAAGGTCCACTCCCAGGAATGGGCAGTAACATGTGCGAGGGTGCTGGGTCTCTTGGACCCACATCTTTTTTATTGGGATAGAGCCATGAGAGTTAAGATAATCGGCAGAAATACAGACTGGTAGGTCTGATGCTTCCCAGATCCAGATTGGACTTCTGACTAATAAGCATAGTCCCTGTGATGTCATGGCCAGCCAGTTACCTTCTCAGCTTGGTTTTTCTATCAGTAAAATGTGGAAAGAACAGAACCAGCCTTAAGGAGCTAGGCTTAAGAATCAGGTAACAAAGTGAAAATAAAATGCTCAGCATGAACAACAGTTCATAAAACAGGGGGCCTTGATTTAAAAGTACCAGCATCCAGTCAAATCAGTGAGCATTTCTGGCTTTAAGGAGGAGCCTAGAGTGGCGGAGAGCAACGGTGACAATTCATTTTTCTATCTCAGTGACCAGCTGCCTCCAAAGTACCCCAGTGCTTCCCCTGCAGAGACCCAGGGGCAGACGATGGGCACGTTGCCCAACTTATAGACAGCATCTGTAATTCGGCAGAGACCGTGCTTTGCTCTGGGAACTAAATGATTTCAGGACAGTCATGTAAGTCCTTCACATTCTGTGATTTCTCCAAGTTGCAGGCCCCGTGTTCCCAGCACTGTGACTGTGCGATGATTGGGTGTCTTCGGATTTCTTCCCCATGGGTAAGTGTGAGTTTTGGTGTTGTGTGTGCCTGGATTGCACGCTGCCTGTCTCTTTCTCAGGCTCCCATGGTCTCTCACTATGTGTACACAGAGCAGGACTCCCAGGGGACAGGTGGCCACATAGTTTGTGTCTCAGCGAAGGTATGAATGCATGCGTAGCTGCAATGAAGGTCATCTCCCAAGGGCACTTTCTTTGGGGTTTACAGAAGGTGGATGAGTCTCTTCATGTTGGATTTTGTAAATACAGATTTATTTATTTCTCCAAAGAAACAGCTCCTTCATCTGCTCCATAGAGAAAGGAGAGCCAGGTCACAGTGCAAACTCCTTATTGCTGTGTGAACAGGGGTTTGAGCTGAAAATTCTAGGGCAGAGCCCGGATATGTCCATAAGCACAATGTGAGCTCAAGCAATTTCCATGGAGGACCTGAGGACCTCTGCGCATCATTCCTGCAATGTAGAAGGGCAATGTCATGGTCTTGGAGGCTGTGTTCCCCAAAGTGTGCTCCAGGGCCCCCCGGATGTGGCTTCCTCACTTGGTTCTGGTATTCTCAACAAGAAGCTCTATCGGGGAGCCCAGAAATCTGGACTTTTAACCCAAAGTGATTGCATGCTCATTTCTAAAATTCATGCTTGTAAAAATATTACAGGATGACAGTCCTGCAGGATTGCTTGGCTTACAAGAGAACCACTCGTGGAAGTAAAACGAGCCGGCTCCCTCACACTGCAATCTAAGCAATGTCAATTTTGCTTTTAGAAATGTCCTCAGTGTGTGGTTTCTGGCTATACTTGTGGAATTGCCCTGAGGGTCACTTTCCAAAGGAAATCTTGCAAGATTATTTCCTTCCCCTGCATTCTCCACTGCTCCTGTGTCCCCCTGGCCTGCCTCTCATGATGTATTTTTATATTCCCTCCGCATCATCACAGGTTGTAACCCTTGCTCGGTAAATATTTGTTGAACAAACAAATTATGTAATTCCTGATAAACCCATTGAAGATAATCTTGTTAGTGTAGAGTTATTTTGGCCCCTTCTCTGCAAAGCGATATCCTGTATCATAACACACATCGTGTGCAACATCAGGTCATCCTTTATGTCAATATCACCACTGTCCCCTCCGACTTCTTAGCAGCAATTCTCACCTGGCAGACTTCTTAGCAGCAATTCTCACCTGGCATGCACGAAGGGCCCACAAAGGGCCCGGGTGGTAACACAAACAACTTGCTCTTTGTGTTCAGTGAGCCCGGCAGGCTGGGGAAGACGAAGCCTAAGCAGACAAGGTAAAATGCATACAGTGAGCAAGTCTGATCATAGCAGACAGCAGAGGACACAGGACATTATCTGCATCTTGGACATCTTGTCAGCCTATCCGGGTGGAGGGAAACCCAAACAAAGCTGGAGATCTAGAGGAGGGAGGTGGAGAGGAAGGTGAGTGCAGTAGGGGAAATCAGGGGCGGACGTTGGAATCGGGAATGGCTAGAATTCGTCCTTGACTGTCCTCTAGTTCATTTACCCATGGAAGTTTTGTTTCCTGGGCAGACCTGCCTGATACTCATGGATGTCTTCCTCCTGTCTGGTGACCCTTGGTGGCCCTAGCCTAAGTCTGTGTGTCTTACAGCTGTGCTACTCCATGGAATGCACAACAGGCATATGTAAAAGCTTTTAGTGGCTCCTGGTACTTTTCCACTACACTCTTCTCCTTTCCTGTCTCTTCTGCTTGCCCAGCAATCCTTGTCCCCCTCTGTGTGCACGCTCACCACTCCAGGGTCACAAATGCCCCGGATGGTGACATGTACGCGGAGATGTCCCTGAGTGGCTGCCTCTGACAGGTTGTGACTGCATGGTGACGTGGGGCCAGGGAACACCGAGACACTCAGTTACAAGAAATTCAGATTCACTGTTACCTTTTCCTAAGACTCCTACCTAGGCAGATGTCTCTTTTTGGTAGGTCTGGCCCTGAAGCCTCCCCTTGTAACCTTTGTCTTGAGGTCCTTGAGAGCAAGTGGGTACGGAGGTGTCCAGGAATTTTTTGTGGCTGAAACAACATGAAGGTTTCCAGCAGGGTTTTCTGCAAAGCCACCTGCGCGGCAGGCTCTGACCCACGCTAAATGCGAGCAGCTCGGCCAGGTAGAGGTAAGTGGGAACAGTGCCTTGTGAGCAAAACGCAAGGCTCTGAGATGATGGAAACTTTCTCCATGCAGCCCCGGTACGGAGGGACCACATGCACATGCGGGCTCACACACAGCAGTCTGACGGCGGATACGCAGAGTCCCTGCACTACAAGAGAAGATGAATACCGCATGTCCCAGTAATCACATTGCCAAAATACTCGCTGCAGGTCATGTTTATCAGGCCATTTTCTTGCTTTGATCATTGTTCTGACTGAGGAATCAGTGTGGCCACAGGACCCTAAGGGACCCTGGAGAACCGGATCTCGCAGCGCTCCTATGGGTGCTGCTGTGCACCCTGCCAGACAGCCTTCAGGCTCTGTTTTCCTCGGCATTAGCCCTGACACGCTCCTCCTCTGCTGCACATTCTCCTGTCTAGCCCCTCGCCTCAGTCCAGTGCAGGCTTGGGCTCTTCTTCAAAAGTACATCTGGTGGCACCTCAGGCTAGGTATGGTCCTGTGTGTTCCTACTCTCCTCGAGAAGTGTGATTCCTGTTTGTGATTTTACAGCCAACCTGAGGGTCAACGGCCTCACCCATTGCCCGGTCTACTTAGTCCCTGTTATGTGCTAATGCCTGGGGCAGAGCTGGGTGCAGAACCAGTGATTACCAAGTA